TGCAGTAATTTAGCTAATAACATGCTGTTTTATTCTGGAAAGAGGGAAGAGTGATTCCTTGTGCTCACAATGCTCAGGTGGTGGTCAGATTTAAAGTATTGCTTGTGCAGTGGGGACCATTCCAGTGAGTAAAAGATGCACCTTAAAAAAAGTCTTTGTATCTTATCTGTTACATGCTATTTGCTGTTATCTCCAGAATGTGCAAACACAAAGATGCAATGCTGTCTGGGTACAGTCTGTGGCACTTGCCTTTGAACTTTTCTCTAGCGAACCTGTGAGCGTAAGTGCAGTCAGATTTAGTTTAAATTAATAGAGGACACACTGTCCACTTAGATGGTATGCTACAAGGATATTGAGAACACTAGAGAACACAATGACTTCCCTTTATCCTGAAATGCCATGTTTATAGTGCCACTGAACTTGCTTATTCTTCAGGAGCTTGAGTAGCAGTTGCTGTTTTCTACCATCTAACAACATCAGAGCTCACTTGATCCCTTTGTCTTGTGCACCAAGCCGTTTGATGGCCCTCCTTTTGGTACTGAGGTTATTCCATAGTTGATACTTTGTGCACGTTGAGACATGTATGTGGCCATGGTCTTTTTATTTGACATCAGGTTATAGCTTTGTGAAAGTACAAATGGACTGACCTTTTTTAAAATCAAGTTTGTCATCTAAAAATATTTGAGACAAAAGAAGGAAATTGTGTGGCGGAGCGAAGATTTATTTCATTCTAATGAACGTGCACAGCAGATTGATGAAAACTGTATTTCTGATTGTAAGAGGTAAAACTTGTTGATCCAATAAATCATTGGTGTTTATCATGTAGTGGCTGTACTCTGAAGTGAAATTTTGCAGAGAACAGAAAGAGTTTTTAATTTTATCCAATAAATTTCATATAGGGGAATTTATTTTTTATTCATGAATATTTATAAAAAGCAGTTTTAAGAACAATATGCAACTGCTATACATTGAAGACTGTGAAAAGTAAGCAGTGCAAAATCCCAGCCCTGCCCCAAAATTCACCTGAAGGAATCTCTCAATATGACATACTCAATTATTACTGCAGGACCTGACGGCTCTCTAAGAACTGTCAGTATGGATAGAAAGTAATTCCAGTTCCAGCGGTGCTTTCTTTAAGGTCACATTTGCCTATTGGCAAGTACTACAGTTAATAATGTGGCATTATAGTATGTGAAATGAAAATATAGACAACTACTAGGCAGTTTAAACTGTCCTCTAGTTTCTTTTAACTTGGAGGAGTGAGGAAAGGACATAAAAATGTAGTACTACCAGTAAAAAGAAAAAAATTGGAGCATGTTTAAGTAAAATGTATTTCATGCCTTTCCAAAGCATATAGATTAGAAATAAGCTGCAACACTTCTCTAGGAAAAAAAGCTATTAAAATAATCAAAAGAATGTAAAAACCTTGTAATTTAGTAATAATACTATAAAGAAAGCATGGCAAAGAATGACAATGCTGTTTCACGGGCACTTTAAAGGTTTCCTGGTGTTATTCTTCCTTTTCTGTAGAATATACTCAGAATGTTTGTGAAACAGTTCTTTTAGAAAAGATCAATTTTTTGTTGTTGTTGTTGGTCGGTTGGTTGGTTTGTGTTTTTTGTTGTTGCTTGTTTTGTTTTGTTTTACTTGGGTCTCTCTGAAAGGGATTGTAAACCTGCCCTGGAGTCTAGAAACTTTATTGTCAAAACTGGATCAAAAGGGGTGTCTCAGTGTTATCCCAACTGAAGGATCTCACTGTTTTTAATACATAGAAGTTCATATGTTATGTTCCAAGTAAGTTGTGAAGTTAGACTAGTGTTTTAAGTGTAGCATGTAGGAGGTTCAGAAAGTGACAATGGAATACCTTTTCCCCTTGCTGAGCATTGGCGCTTTTTTTATCTTCACAAGCAGTGATAGTCACTGAACGTGGTTACATCCAAAGTAGTCTTTATTGCTTTTGTACCAAAGTAGCAGGCAAAAAACAGGAAAAGCCTGGTCGGTATTCATAGCTGTATGTTTTTCGTCAATTGTAAAAGTAACACAGAATCGGCTCAGGAAGGGTAGTAGTCCCAGGGTTAGACCAGCAGTGCTTGTGTAGATGGCATGGTATCTTGTCATGTTTGAGTACTCTCCAACTCTGAACGACTTGTACTTTGATTTGGAAAAATAATTTAACAACTGTTGAAAACCCCAGATTTTAACTAGGCATATACTGTAAGATAGATCTAAATATTAGTTGCAGATAATGGCTAATAATTTTAATGCTTTTCAAGAAGTAGCAAAATAAGCAGAAAACCACTGAAACAACAAATGACGTCAGCTTGCACCTCAGGTGTTGACTGAGTAGCTAGTACATTGTGACTTATTACTGAATATTTTTTTTAAAACATTTGTGAAGGTGTGGAGCAAAATCTTTGTTTTGAAGGAGTAATACTAGCTACAAGTTAGAAGGAAAGAGCTGTTTGTAAGTAAATAGCATATAGTAAACTGAATATCTATATACCTCTATTCTAAGATGTTAAAATTTTCTAAAAGGGGATTACTGAATTAACTCTGAAATGAAGGTAATTTCTGTCTCTGGTGCTTAGCTTTGCTCAAATTAGATTAATAGTTGGACTGAAATTGTGAGGACGCTTTCATTTTCTTTCTCTTTCTTTGTGCTGTATTGAGACCACTTATATCTGTAACTGAAGTAGAGTTGAGTGGTAGGCGGGCTTTACAGGAGGTAAATGCAGTGTGGACTGAAACACTTCACAGCAATTAGGTCTAAATTAGGCCTCCACTACCATCTTCTGATTCGATGCTCTTAGTTTGTCAGAGAATTGGTTAACAGGTAAGTGTATGTTAAAAATAACTGGAACTGCAAAGCTGAAATTAAAGAAGGTAAGAATAATGTAAAGGAAAAGCCTGTACAACTGCAGTCATGTTTTGCTCTTTTATTTTTCCGCATTACTGAAAACAATGTTTAATAGCACTGTATGGTATTTTTTACAACAAAATATTTTCATGTATTCATTTCCTGCTTATAACTGAAAACTTCATACAACAGTTGCTAAATGTCAGCACCTAAATCTTCATAATACTGTTGTTCTGTAGTGCAGTTTTGTTTTGTTTGGGACCATGGTTAGAGAACTCACTCTGTATTCAACATTCTCTAATTTTTTTGCCAGTGCAAGATGTTTTTAAGGGGGGATAAACATTTACAGTGTATTGGTAGCAAGGCCATGGTTCTAACATGAAACAAAGAGTTAACATTGGTGTTCATTCATTAACTAAAGAATACAAAAGTTTTACTTTTCTCATACTTAGTTTCTGTTTGCATATGATAATCTATGCTTTATGAAACTATCACTCAGATGTATCAAAAAAACCCCAAACAAATATATTTTTATTTAGTGGTAGATGTGTATTTTTTTTTTTAGCTTGTTTTTCCAGGTGATAAATTGAACTATCTTTATCATTTGGATACATATTATAGACCTTTAAAAATATGGACAATTCTAAACAGTTTGTTAGGGTCAAAAATTCACATATCCATTAAGCTTCTTGAAGAAAGGAAAAAATAAAAGTAATAAAAAACACCCCCGATATATTTTAATGTAAGTAAATGCTTGAACATGTTTTTTTTTTATACAAAGATATATTTTAATCATAAATGCCATTCTATTACTCAGTCAATATTATGACAAATATAGGACATGAAAACCATTTTATTGCAATGGTTGGAACACCACTTCTCAACTTTCTTTATAAAAAACCCCAACAAAACACAAAAACAACAAAAAAATCCCAACCCCCAAACGAAAAGAAAACAAAACAACGAACTCCAGAGATCTATATCCTCAGATGGTGTAAAGCAGCACAGCATCTTTGAAGTCATACAGACACCTGGCTGCTGAGAATGCAGCCCTGGAGATGTAGTGCACAACAGCAGTCTGATGTAAGATACATTTAGCCACGGGAGTTCTGAAGCACTCTGGCAGAGCAGGTTCAGACAAGTGCATTTCAGCCCACCAGCATATGTCAAATGGTGCGCTGGTTATATGGATTAAACTTTTGATGACATTTTTCATAACAAGAACAGCAGAAACAACAGGAGCTTTGATGATAGACTATTTAAATAGATGATAAAAATTTTAACACTACTAGGTAGACTAGTGTTAACTAAGAACTGTCTGTAGGTTTATAATAAATTAAAAATAACCTTTGGGTTTGAGTCTGATGCAGTATTTAGGGAAAAGTCATATAATTCAGCATCTGAATTTGTAGACCTACTGGAATGCATTTCGAAGTACTGCAGTGGTATGAAATTAAATCCTTTAACATAAATTATACAGTGATCTGTGTAAAATTATATACTGATAGTAAGTAATTATCCTGGATCATAGCAGTGAAGTGTTGGTAGACACTTGTTGAATGTGTTGTTCGTTCATTTTCTGTGGAAGCAATTCAGCATACTCGGGGCATAATTTCATGCTGGCACTTGTTAATGGATGAGTAATAAATCATGCCACAGAACTCCTTAGAAACATGGAAAAATGAAGCTGTAGTAAAAATTATAAAGTGCTTTAAATGAGCATTTGTTGTTTACTACATTGTTTCTCATGCCATGGTAGACATCAAAACCAACCCAATGAAATATGATAGTGCTCTAGAGTAAGTAAAACAGCCTGTTACTTACTGTAGTCAGTATTTCCATGTATTTTCTTGTCTTGATGTTAGACTTAGTTTACTGTGAGATCAGAGGAGAAGCTTATAGTACAGGTTGAACTTGCACAGACATAAAGATCACCATAAATATTCTCTTTTTTAAAGTTTCCATTTGCAAAAATGTGGATGTAAGAAGAAGGAAGCAAAAAGAGCAATCTGGAAACAGTTCATATCCAGTGTATGTAGCCAGTTTGCCTGAAATACACTGTTCAGTTTTTTAAGACAGAAGAGGGTTCCTTGAAATGTATAGAAATCTGAGAATTTATTCCAAGTCCATTGAGTGGTAGCTGCTATAATACGGATGCTTCTTCCATGGCTTCAATCCACCTAAAAAGGGCAGGGAAGAAGAAGTGGTACATATAAAATTATATGCATTTTAAGAACATATGTAGTTTAAGAAATATACGTATTTTAAGAATGTAAAGCCTGAAGAGAACTGTATTTCCCATCCCAGCTCTAATGAAGAACTATAGTTACATGATTAAAGAAGGGAACTGAGTACTAGGACTCTTGCGTTCTAGTACAATCTTTACCAGTAATTTATTGTAATATCTCAAAGATAGTACAAGCTCTGTCTTAGAATAGGAAAGATGAAATCACTGAAGTATGTTTAAAAGCAACAAAACCTCTCATAAACACTCATTTCCTTCCTGGTGTGTCTTGAGGTGCTTGCATTTTTATTACTAATTTCATGACTATTTTATTGTGTGGAAGCAGTAGCATTAGAATGGGAAATCTAATCTATTTGTTGATGAGGAAACTAAAAGATGGATAAATAGAAGACAGAAATCGGAGAAGTTTCTGTACAGTAATCACATTTGACAGACTTCTAGGTGTGACTCTTGAGACTCGGTCTCCTCTTTACCTATACGAGGGAGCAAATTCTCCTTCCTGAAGGAACTGAAAAACACCAGGTAGATTTTTAATGTCACCCAGGCCAGTCACATGCAATTGGGTTTAATCAACACTCTGAAAGCTGTTTGTTTCCTCTGTTACTGAGGAAGGCATTCTGAAGTGAAGGAGAGGGAAAAAGCCCTACATAAGCTTTTGGACCTGTGCACTGGGAAGTGTGGAAGTCTACCCTCGTACCTCTGTGCTGAATTGTTATCCTCTGCTCGGAAGCTATAAAAGAGAGTCTGCTTGTGGTAGAGGTGGAAAACTGTATCCGTACTTCCTTCCTCCTTTTCTGGGGCAATGGTGAAACCCAACAAGGGCAAACTTTCTGTGGCAACTTTGTCCTGAAAGCAAAAAAGAAGTGAACCAAAATTTAGAGAGAAGATTTGTAACAGTTTGAGAGCTTTTTCTGAAAATCAGATAATGATACAACCCCTCTCTGACAGGGCTGTTAAAAGCAGTAGTGTGAATCTTCTGCTGGACTGGTGGCTCTTACCTAAACAGGAGCAGTGACTGTGTACTGCACATATTTATCTAGTCCTAGTCCTGAACTCGAACACCACATCTGAAAGTCCAGTTCTTCATGATCTTCCACATGGCCATGAAGGTCAAATTAGCCATTACTTTAATGATTATCTTTGACATAATGGTCCAGGAGGCAAACTAGAGATTACTGAGAGCATGGGGCAGTACAGCAGCAGTTCTGAAAGCCTGGCAGTACAGCAGCAGTTCTGAAAGCCTGAGACCCACTTTCAGTTATGTTCCTTTCAACCATTTTTATTTGCTGAGTGCAAGTAGTAGTCTTTTTGGTACCTTGTCATTTCCTTTCATAGCACTAGCAACTTCTTTAGAAATCTGCACTGGCTCAAACAGAACACTTGCTTTCCAAAATGCTGCTTTGAAATTTCTGAGCTGGTAATGCAGTTAATTGTTAATTTACTCCTAAGAAACATCCATGAATTTTGCTTGCCAGACACTGATTTGTACAAATTAAAGAAAATAATAAGCATTAATCAAATTGCAGTTTAGCTGTTACTGATCGCTGCAGTTTTGGTTGCTGTATTTAGGCAATGTTTTCTATATGTGTATGTTGCCTTTGCTTCTGCTTTTAGAAGCTAAATTGCAGACTGGGAATACAAAGTGTAATTAGCCATCTGTTGCTTTTTCCCTGCTATTGTTGAACCGGAAAGGATCACTTTTAAGGTTAGCAGAGGTAAGGTAAATGTGTTGGATGCAGAATTTGATGCTAATAGTCTGAATTGCTTGCCAAATCATGAACTCTTTTGTGCCTCAATCTCCTCATCTGTTTAAATGCGATAATGTTGCTTCATGCAACCATCACAGTGGTGATGACAGTTTAAATGACTGATGTTTGTACAGTGTTCTGAAGGCTTAAAGTACCAAATATTGCTATTACGACAGTTCTTGCATTCTATGTCCTTTGTTCAGCAAAATGAATTTTTTATGCCTTTGCTTAGGAAATCTGTCAGTTATAACCAAACTTTATATCACACTTAGTTCAAGTTTATTTGTATTGCAGCTGTTCACAAAGGAGAAGAAATTAAAATAAGAAAAGGGACTGGGAAGAGACAAAATACATAAAAATGATCTAGTTGATGTCTAACATCCTTGGCTGTAAGGAGTAGCTTACAGGCCAATACCCAAGGCATTATTCTCACCTCTGCAGACTGCCTCCTGTCTTTTCCTGTTGGTACTAGTAGAACGAATATGTCCTATTTATACTTCCAAAACTAAAAGATTCTCCTCCTCACCACAAATGGATCATAGCACCATCTATCAGCAGTTACCAAGTGCACCAGAGAACACCTGAGGACCTTGAAGTCTTTAGGTGTAAATGTGTAGACTAAGGTTCACGGTGGCTGACAGTTTATAATAGTGTGAATAGCAGGAAGTCAAATAGTGAAGGGTAGCTTGTGAAGAGGGCTGCTGAGGTCCCGCTGGGGCTGTGGCTGGGCCCCTCGGCTAAGGACAGCTCCATGGGAATTCAGTCTGTTACAACCAGGTCTCAGAAGGCAGGTGGTTGTGAGAACTGCCATTTATACCTTTCACATTTACTTGGGCTGCCTGTAGGGAGTAAAGAAGGGAACTCAGATAGGAAACTATTTCATGTCAGATTGCACAGTACCTCGTTTGCTATGTAGGTGTAGAGGACTTTGCCTTTGATAACGAACCAGCGTTTCTTCCAGTGTCTTTTGCCTCTCTTACATCTGCTGAGGTAACCACTGATGGTAGCTCCCTCTCCTGAGGCCGCCACCTGGAGCAGGGTAGGAGAAATCAGGATTTGTAACAGCAAAGGCTTTTCCCTTCCTGATTATGCAAGTTCGCATCACACCAGACAACCAGGTCTATGTCTGTGAAACCGTAAGTAGACCATTAAAAATATTGAGACAGAAAAAAATCTAAGCATGGTATTATGGTTCTTTTTAACTGTTTGAAGATTTCTGGTTAAACTTAGTTCTCAGTAACTCTGATGGAAAATATGCAGTTGAGTTATTATTCAGGTCAGCAAGTTTACAGTTGTATTCTGAGAGGCTGAACTTATCCCTTTGCCCTGGTCTGGTTTTTTGCTATATTAAAAGTATATGCTTCCAAAAGGTAATTACAGTCTTGTGGCTGAACACTTTTAAGATGTCAGTATATTTAGGACTTTGCAATGGTTTTATATCAACTTATGTTAATCACTTGACTATGACTTGGTTTCATCTGAAAAACAATATTTCTGAGAAGAGTTACACCTCTCGCAGAAGTATTTTGAAATCTAAGTGCTTAATGTTCTTAAAGATCCAGATTTTGAGTAGATAGAACTATACATAGACACACAATGCAGTGTACGTTATTAGTTACAGTAGTAAACTGCCATAGTATTGGATTTAGAAACAAAGGGCAGAGATTCAAAACCAGCTTTTGTAGCACTGACAGAAGAGAAGACTCAGCAGTAATAGATCAGTGTTTTGCAGCAGAACAGAAATGTTCCAGCACCTGGGTAAAGCAAATTAGAAAAAGTTATGGAGCAATGCTATTGTGAGACAGTTCTTATTAATAAACATGTGCTGCCTCCTTGTGGATAGAAAGGCAATGCTTTTTTCCTAATGGGGCTGAAATTTTGCCTGCTAATTCTTTCAGTATTCAATTTGTGTGTTTGTATTACATGCTTGTATCTTTGGCTCAGTTTCACCTCAGCACAAACCAACCTCAAGAAATTCCAGTGTCTCGACCGTACAATGAGTTCAGCAAGATGTTTGCACCCTATTCTCTTTAATGTAATGATAAATACCTGCTGATTTCAGTGAAATGGCAGTACCTTACTGTGCTTGAATTCAGTGGGCAACTTAGCTACCTAGACTGCATCAACATGATTGCACCTTGTTCTGGGAAAGAAAACTAACATAGCTGGAGAAATCCTGGCCCTACTGAACTTGGTGGGAATTTAATTTGTTTACATTGGTGGGATTCAAGATTTTACCCATTTGCTTTGAAATAGTTTGGTTTGAGCTGGAGGGAAAGTGCCTGATTAAACGTGTATGGTCCTCCATTGATTGCCAAGGACTAGAGTCTATTCCCTAAGTAAGCAGTATTTTATTTCTCTTGAAATCAAAGTAAGATATTATAAGTAAGGGTCTTGTCAAAAAAGGTAACTAGTCAACAGTATATCATGCTCTGTTGATACTTGTCATTGACTGTGATCTGCCTTGTTGTATTCTCTAGTACCTTGAAGTCATCTTGGTTTTCTAAAGACTTCACAGGCTGATGAGCAAATTAAAGTACACTGCTCTAATCGGGTTTCTCAGTGGGTTCAAGAAACTTCTGTGCTATCTTCAGGGTTCAGAGTATTTTGTATTTTAAACACTATTGTGAAAAACAGAAAAAAATAATTGCGCGATGAAAGTAGACCAGGGCATGGGCTGAGCTCACTGCACACAGAATAAATTATAAACCTAGCTGCTGAAGTATGGGCGCATGGTTCTCTACAGTTCCTTGCCTTTCTTAGGCAGCTTGGTCCTACCTCCATAAGAGCTGAAGGGATCTTCTTCTGTTTCTTAAAAGATGAATAATGAATATTGTGGAAGACAGAGGAGAAGGCACTGCTTGAACACCTGGATGAAGTTGGAGGGAAGCTCAAACTTAGTGGCCGCTCTGCAAGATTAAGAAAATTCAGAAAGGGAAGGGGGACATGGATGAATCTGTGCATATCAGACTAGGGGTAAGAGACACAAAATACACTAATGCAAATGATGAAGGAAAACACAATGCCTCCTCCATAGCCTCCATAGGTTTTTATTTTACCTTTTCTTTCAGATCACCCCTTTAAGTCTGATTAGATGGGTGGATTTCATAGTACCCTAGGTTAATGGTAATAACCTACAGCTACTTGAAAGAAGTTTACAAGAAAGCTGACAAAGCACAAAACACAGCTTGTTTTCTTCTAATTTAAAATCAGCATTAAGCAAATGGCTTTTCCATCTATCCCTTCTATGTTCTGTTACACCTTTGCAGGATAGATTCACTAATGGGACATTCTTCCTGTATGAACCATTCTCTGAGTTCTGCATGGGAGAGAGTTATTCTGTCTCTGTCAATTTCCATTAACCCTACTTGTCTGAGTTCATATCTTCGTGATCTCACTTCTGGCAATAACACATTATCTGGAAGCTCTTAGTAAAGCACAGCATTATTTTAGCACAAATCTGAGTTACCACTTTTTGGTCACACAGTGGCTGGGGGATGCTTTTTTGGCTGTTCATGTGTTTGGTTGGCTAGTGTGAATTTCTTTAATCAAGATGGAAAAACTGAACTTTGTCTGTCCCCACCTTTTTATCCTTGACAATGTAATGTGCCTACTTTTAGAGATTGTCTACATGAATAGTTGTGCAAGAGCAGTATTTCCTGTTCATTCTCTGTTCATATATATGTAAGCCCTGCCCCGCCTTTTATCTTTGATTTAGATGTCTATTTAAATCAGAAAAGTGACTTGTATAGTAGGACAATAATACAGAGTTCTAGTTAGGCAGTAGCTCTTCTGCTTTGAATTCATACTTTCATCTGTAACCAGATTAACTCCCCATGCAGAAAAGCTCTTAGTGACTCTGCATTTTACCCCCGCGTTTCTTCTTGTAAAAGCTACAACGTGGATGAGGACAGTGAGGAACTGTAAAGCCATTGTTTTACTTTAATGTATAATTCATTAGAAATGACAGTGAAGAGCTATCACCTATAGTTACATCACAGAATAGAATAGTTCAGTTAGAAGGAACCTACAACAATCATCTAGTCCAACTGCCTGACCAATTCAGGGCTGCCTGAAAGTTAAAGCATGTTATTAAGAGCATTGTCCAAATGCCTATTAAACACTGACAGGCTTGGGGCATCGACCACCTCTCTAGAAAGCCTGTTCCAGTGTTTGACCAACCTCTGGGTAAAGAAATGTTTCCTCATGTCAAGTCAGAACCTCCCCTGACGAAGCTTTGAACCATTCCCACGTGGCCTGTCCCTGGATCCCAGGAGCAGAGCTCAGCATCTCCCTTTCCACTTCCCCTCCTCAGGAAGCTGCAGAGAGCAGTGAGGTCACCCCTTAGCCTCCTTTTCTCCAAACTAGACAAACCCCATGTCCTCAGCCGCTCCTCATAGGACATAGTTTTTATCGTTACTCTGGTTTATCAAAAGGCCAGGGGAGAAGGCCTCAGAAGACCTGGCTTGCTAAAACAGTTTTAGCTGCCATACAGCCTGGTGCTCCTGGGATTTCAATACACATGCCTTGTGCTTGAAATGAGAAATCCTCTTTAACAGAACACAATATGGTAGGCAGATCCTAAAGCTCCCCATTATACAGGCAGGAATAAAGCCTCCCCGTTATACAGGCAGGATATGGTTTTGTCAGTTTTGCCAAGAATGGAGGAATCTTACCTCTTTTCTTAAGTTCCACATAGCAGCTATCACAGACTTTAGCTGCTTGATCTTTGAGGTACTTCATAGGGTACTTGTTTCTTGAACAGTTTCGACATACAATCTGTTCCAGAAAGGAGAGATGTACATAAATATAATTTAAATTTCTATATCTACACATGTGAAACAAATCCTCAGAGCTGGTTGGGAGAGGAAGACGGATAGTGGACTAGATATGACTATCCTAAAACTGTGGCAGTCAGGTTAAGTCTACTGACTGAAATGTGATTGCTGTAGATTTACACTGTTGTAACAGAATTGATCACTGTATTTGGTTGCACGCCATTGCTGTGCCCATCTCCCCAGGAACTTAAACCTTTCCTACTAGTGAATCACAGAAAGACCACTTTAATATTACTTCTGTTCTCATAGCTTTGTTAGTAACGTTGTTTTCTTAAGCGAGTTTGTGTGTTCCTGCTATACCTGTGTAGGTACAGACTGATTGTGGAATCAGAAAAAAGGTTAAATAAATGCTTTTTCATAATAGCAAAGTTTATTGGTAGTTTGGTCCAAAAAAAATACCACTGAGGCTAAAAGACAGCCATGGTTTAAAACAGGACCGCAGGTTTATATGTATAAACAAACCACTAGAGTCAGTGATAGAATGGACAAAACCAAGAAAGCTTATAGATCCCCTTGGCTCTAGGGCAAAAGGCAGCAGCTCTTCGATGGAGCACAGAGGAAACTTTCCCCTTGGTCACTGACCAAAAACATGCTCTACTGCTGAGTTTCTTCAGTTTTCTTGGACGATGATTTTTAACAGCTGTTACTAGGGCCAGGACATGGACTAGATGTGGTATGCTCTGGTCCAGAACAGGGCCTGTATTTTTAGCGTATCTTTTAGTGTATTGCTTCGTTGTCTCTAGAGCTAGCTGTATATCAGATATAATGGTTGGACTCAGCACCAATTATCCTGTAAGCCTTCAACTACTATCCTTTGGGAATTAACTTGACCCTTACTGTTGTTCCTACTAGAGTCATTAGAAACCTAATTACCTAATTTAGCAAAGCACTAACAGATTCTGCGAGAAGTCTAGTTCTGGTCTTGATGTTGCTACGAGTTTGTAGAAGTTACAGCAGTAGCAGCCAGTGTCCTAGAGACATGAATAAAGCCTCCCTGAGAAGTTTGTATAGCTCTTACCTTCCCACAGGCATGGCAATGATGTCTCCTCAAAGTGAGGGTAAAGTCACAGCCGCAGTTCATGCACATCATGACATGGGACACAGGTACCAAAGTAGGAGGCCTCTCACCCAGGGGTATTCCAAGCCTTTCCCTTAGCTTAAAATCAAACAAGAAGAAATTAAGAAGCATCCACACTTCCAAAGTCACTCAGTCAGCCCTGCTCCATCACATATAATTCCCCTCTCATTTCAGTCTGCCTTCACCTGCTAAGATCCCCAAATTTTCTAATTCCTAATGCACCTTGTAAGTGAGATACAGCTGCTTCAGGACTGAAAGACTATGCCCAGTCAGTGCATGGTGCTGTTAAAACCAGAGTCACAACAGGTAACAGTCCATGTAGATCTGTTATTGGTCAGGCACTGACACTCTTCTGCATCAGACAAGGGTCTGATTCATTGCATATGTGAATTGCAGGTAAGAGCATGAGTTAAAGCCATCATTTTATGGACAGTTTTTGAAATAAAAAGCTCTATAGCTTTCATTCGAAAAAGGCCTGAGCTCTTTATGTCATTATACCTTGGGATAGTTCTATGATCAGGGAAGAGAGAGTACAGAAAACAGTAAAACCAAAAATTAATGTACCCCCACACAATCCAAATCTGATCCACGCTTTCCATGGCTGATCTGAATATATGTAAGCAGCTTTAGAAAATGTATTCACTGTTTCTATTTCTTGGAATGTGCAACATTGCAGTAATATACAGGTGCCTTTACTCCAAGCCCAGAGCGCCATGGCCAATGTGGAACTGAACCCAATCTAATAAGTGGTGCTGAGAAGCTGTGTTACTTCAGGTTTGTCACCAAAGTATGATGGGTACCCCACCATCAGTTCACAGCAGCTTAGTGTTTGGCACAAGTAGCGCAAGCTCTTGTGCTTTTGAAGGACTGTTTGTTAGGAGGGTTTCCTATGAGGAAATTAGACTTCTGCAGACAAATATGATTTAAACAGAAAAATAGAGTTCCTTGAAATTTCTCCTTGTGCATACTCAGGTTTACATCAGAGGCAGAGATGCAAAAGAAATTATTTTTTCATTTGTTGAAAAAGGATTTGGTTTAGGTTGCTACACTAACTAATTTCTAATTTTTTCCTGTTAAATATTTGAAAGTAGATTAGCTTCAGGCCAGAAGGAAAATCCTGTTTGTTTTTTGAATTAATTTTTTACTTTCTGAAGTCTTCAAGAATTAAATCACAGAATCACAGAATGCTTGAGGTTGAAAGGGACCTCTGAAGGGCATCTGGTCCAAATCCCCTGCTCAGGCAGGGCCACCTAGAGCCAGCTGGCCAGGACAGTATCCAGGTGACTTTTGCATATCTCCAAGGAGGGAGACTCCACAACCTCGCTGGGCAACCTGTGCCAGTGCTCGGTCACCCTCAGAGTGAAAAAGTGTTTCCTGGTGCTTGAGGGAACCTCCTGTGTTTCAGTTTGTGCCCACTGCCTCTAGGCCAGTCACTGGGCACCACTGAGAAGAGCCTGGCTCCATCTTCTTTGTACCCTCCCTTCAGGTATTGATACACACGGATGAGATCGCCCCTGAGCCTTCCCTTCTCCAGGCTGGACAGTCCCAGCTCTCTCAGCCTGTCCTCACAGGAGAGATGGTCCAGTCCCTTCATCATCTTCATGGCCCTTTGTTGGACTCTCTCCAGTACGTCCATGTCTCTCTTGTACTGGGGAGCCCAGCACTGGACCCAGCGCTCCAGGTGTGGCGTCACCAGCACACTTTTTTCCCCCAGTTAGTCTTATCTAGTAAAACTGAGGTTCTACATAACCTAAAATAGTGTTTTTCCTTTTTGTCAGATGTATTCTTTGCCTTCTTAACTGGGCGTAGTACAACTGAAATTAATAAGATAATAATATACATCATTGTGCTGGTACAATTAGAATATTGCTGGTGGGGTTTGCACTGCCAGTGACTTTATTGCATGTATGATATTAGTGTAACTAACGGGTAGATTTGTTTTCTTAAAACCTATGAAGTTTCTAGGTATTTTTAGTTTATCCAAAATAGTTACCTTTTAGGACAAAATAGTCTTCCTCCAGAAGAATTCCCATTTAAGCAAAGACCACAGAGTATAGAGCGTGATTAACATTTCAGAGGTGGCCCATGAGCTGTGACAAGCTTCATTGTTTAAGCTTGGCATAGTGGTTTAAATGAAAGTAGTAAGAAGGTCTTGCCCCTAGGAACTCTGCATTTTATAACCATCCTCCTTTCTCTCTTTCTCTCCCTTCCCCCTTCCTCTTTCAAGCATTGAAAGACTTGGCCTCCTTTTACCTCCACGCTGCTGTGGAAAGTGGAAGTGTTGTGAGCTTTGTAGTCATCTGGGATGTGTCTGCTGATGCAGCTGTACCAGTCATCCCTTTCCGAACAAGAGCTGTGGAATGAAATATAGCAGAGCAGTCAATGCCATGCACAGCAGGGAGTGAAACAACCTGTTTCGGGATCAGAGGAGAAAACCTTCACTTTATGAATGTTTGCTTTTCCCCACTACTGCATTGAACTGGTAAATTTCTGACCATGAACAAAATTGACTGTTGGACATATTCAGCGGGATGATTAGCGTAGATCCACGGTTAGGACTGTGACTGAGAAGGAACTAAACGCTCAGAAAATTTTTCAAAGTAATCTCTGATTTTGCTATAAGCCGCTCAATCCTAGATCACATAGGACAATATGAAATGTTTCTTTTTGTCATGTCTGCCCTAGGTTTTAGGCACTCTAGTGCACGTAGGGTTGGCATGGGTTGCTCAAAGTGTGTTTATGCTTATCTCTACAGTGGGTTGCTTAGATGATCTGCATGTTGGGAAATCTCTAAGTCTGTCACCCACGGTAGAGATGTGAATGCTTTCATTTTCCTCTAGTTCCACCACAGACAATCTCCAGCCTCCTGGCAAAAGGCCAGGACAGCAATTTGGGAAGGCAGTTCTGCATTCCCTCTACTTGCACTTATGCATGGAGGCCAGTAGTTCTCCAGACTGGCCCCTAGATGCCCCCTTCGCACAAGGCAAAACAGTGAGCACTTTGCGCTTCTCTGCCAGTCCAACTATCCCACAAAAGCGGCAGGGCTGATACAGTGCCTGTTGCTGCCCGGATGCATTCGCTCTGTTACAGCCATAAGCTGTGCTGCCTCCGCTAGATGGTTCTCCTGCTGTGACTGCAAACCGTGGGCTTCCTGTCCATCTGAAACTGTGCACAGCTCTAGCTGTTTCCAGCATCAGTTACAGGAGGGAATGCGACTCAGCGTGGTCTCCCCTTCCCAAGTCATATCAGCCACTCGTGTTAAAGCCACCCACTAGACTTTGTTGTAAAAATTAGCAAAGACATCATTGCCAGCTGCTGTTCAGCTGTGATTTCCTCACACTGTCCTCATGAAGGCCACCAAACAAGACATCTGAGACCAATTTGTCTTTTGTGGTCTGAAAAAGGGCACAAAAAGAGAGGAAATGCCAGATTTTATCAATGATCTCTGACTTAGCATCCCTCTGCACTGTGAGCATAAGCCCTTGCCTGAAAAACGCCAGCCTCTAAAATTCAACAAACTTGGAGCAGAAATTGGAGCAGAAACTCTGAGCCAGTGTATCTACTGCATATAGGCTAACCTCTGCAAGCCAAGGGGCTGTGTTACAGATCATCTCTGGCAAGAGTTGCACTACTAGTCAGTCCTTAGTACTGCCAAAAGTCCTGTGAAATTACACTTTCTAAGAAATCTGAAGATGTCTCTATCTTCCGGACAAATCATAGAATCATAGAATCATTATGGTTGGAAGAGACCTCAAAGATCATCAGGTCCAATCATGTTCACAGCCTGCAAAGAAGTCCTGGCTTCAATCTTTCTCTTGCTAATTCTTTCTTGGACATTGTCTTGACTTGAGAATTAAGACATGATTTAAAAAAACAAAGGAAATCATGGCCCATATAGTGATGTAAATTGAAAGCCACTTTGGGAAAGACAGATAAGAGGGACAATCTGTTATTAAAAGCCTGATATCTAACTGACCCCTTTAACCTCTTCTCCACTCCATTAAACATCTCTAGGCAGTAATCACAGGTTATTAGTGTCTAAATGTGGGAATAACACCTGTCTGCTGAGTAAGATAAATTATGCCAATTGGCACTGGCCTATTCTTAATTAGCTATTTCATTGGTTGCATGAAGGCTCAGAGGAATTTTTGCTGAACCTCTGAGACTCAGAGAAGCTCAGACCTTGATTCACTATTGCCACATTTAGTCCTTGTGTGATTTTTGGGCTGCACCTTTTGTGCTGAGCTATTAGCCATCCATGTCGGCTCATATATTCTTCCTTAAGCAAATAGAAAGAGGGTTAAATTGTCACTGCAGTCTCCTGAACAGCAGGGGACATCCATGGAACACAGAAACTGGACTGGGATGGAAAGGGATTTTGTTGCAGTGCTATCACTGTCACTCTGAATTAGCCTTTTAGGGAAGTAACACTGACTGCGTTCTCCCAGTGCTCCGGTATTTTACAGGGACACGACATGGTTACCCCTGTGTCCAAGAAGAACACTTTTGAAATGTAAAGAAAGGTATAAGAGCAGTATGAGCCCTCTCCATAAAGGCTCTGTGCTCAGATCTGTTACCAGCTCACTGTAAGCCAGTAACATGGCTCTTCTGGTGAGTGAGCCATTTTCAGACGGAGATGTAAAGACTTGACAGTGCCATCTGCTCTCATAGCCACGCTGACTTCTGAGCCTTGGTCATCCTCATTCTGTTGCGTTTAGTCCCTGGCACTCGTGCCGTATTTCCTCAATGCCTTCACCTTGTCTCATAAAAGTGTAAAGGCATTGAGTTTTGGGTTGTGATTGTTAACAGCTAGCCTTCAGTGCAGACTTGCAGCACCTCGGTGTGAGCGGTGAAAGATACAGTCTTTAGGGACACTTGAAGCCTTCTGGTACTTTTCTGTCTTTGGTGCTCTTTTTGGTGAATGTAGCAGGCCAAGGATGTTGTGCAGTGGGATTAGGAGAGCATGCTGTCCCACCAGTGTCTCATCAGCTCTGCCAGCCATTACAGAAAGGGAGAGGAAAAAATGTTCTTGGGTGACTTATGGCAGATCAATCCCAGAAGGAACAGCACAAGGAAGGGAAAGGGGCTTTATCCGAGTGCTCTGATAAGAGTCAGTCTCCATCTCGCTGTTATCAGAAGGGCAACCTTAGTCTCAGGCCCTGGTTCTATCTACTACCAAAGAAACACAACTCGCAGTGGCCTTACATACTTTGTTAAGGCAAAATAAGCACAGACTTGATATGAGTACGAAAGGCAAAGGAACAACATAACAATGCAAGCAGAACATCCCAAGCTTCTTGCTAGGGATGCCAACTTCAGTTGCCCTGAATAAAGGGGACGTGCAGCAGTTATTTCCTCTCTACAATACAGAAGGACTGTACACGTTCTGCTTTTGTAACACAGCAGGTCATTTAGAAATACTGTGTGTATATTTTGAGGGTTGTGATGAGTGTGCAGCTCTAAGAAAATCAGAGATATTTTCTCATTTGCTGGTTATAAAAGGAAATAAACAAAAAGGCTTTGACATTTATCTGAGCACTGCCCACAGGTGGCAAGTGCTCTGGGAAGGATGAGAGCTCCAAATTCGGATTCTGAAAAAGAAAGTGCCCTCTCTGTTTTTCTATTGCACTGTGTAATTTCGGGAAGTTTGCTGTGTTTCCAGCCAGGCTGTAGTTGCAAGACTGAGAGTGGGAAAGTCAGTACTTAAAAGCATTGAAGACCTTGTTATTTGGAAGACTATTTTAATACCACTGCTAGTGTGCTATGTCTTTTGTAGTAAACTACAGCTGAAAATCAAGCCAGCCACCTTTCTGCTGCAGCTCTAGGTAGATTTGTAGCATAATTTTGGGCTAGAAGCATGAAAAAATACAGTACACTGCTCTCTTCTGATCAGAAACTGGCCTACAATCTCTTTTTGGCATTAGCTTGTGATCCCAGGACAGAGATCCTGACTCCCGGTTGCAATCAGTACTAGCACTACACAAAATCATCAGTGAAATTCCCTTTATTAGAAAGACCCGTGAGGTTGCCAGTAAGGTTTAATTTTGGCTTTGTCATTTAAGCACTATTAAATGCTTTTATATCTATTGCATAGTATTACCTAATTACTATTTTCTCCCGCAGTTTTGCAACCCTAGTGGTATGAGGTAACAAGTGAACTTATGAAAGGGAGGTATAACTCTCAGTGTCACAGGCAAGAAGTGTGAAAGATACGATTCTTGGAACAGACTTTCTTCTGTTTCCTTTCTCTTTAAGATGCTATCAAGAGCTGACTTCTAATCTTTACTCAGTATTTGAGTTAAATTAGTTACAGTTTATGAGCTTTGCATTTATAATTAATATATTCATTGTGTAATCAAGCACTCAGCCATTGTCTGTCACAATAGCACAGACTGAAATCGAGTTAAAAAAGAATGAGACACCAGTTAAGTTTTTGGTATTGGTTAGACTAATCTAGAGATACAGCTCTAGAATGTAACACCATCTGCCATGGCTGTTTGGGGACAGTACCTTGCTGATAGGGTCAGGCAATATTCATCATATTCAATCTTCAGGATGTTTTGGGCTTTGTCTGTCACTGGGCGGCTGACCTAGAAGCAAATGCCATGAACATGAATGTGGACATGAGTTAAACTGTCTAAACCAGTACACCATACAAGTCTCAATGCATATGCATCTATGATGTCCCAGTCATCTTTTCATATTCCAATGCAAAGAGCTAGGCAGGTAGGGTTTTCTGTCTTTTGTATTGCTGGTGTAATGAGGAATGCTCTCTATTTCAATATGGTGGTGATGCTAAAGGAAAAAAATTGTTTCATCCAACTATAAAGGTAAGGATAAAGTATCATTCAGGGTTCAGTTTTAATATGATAAGCTTAGGCGATGTTTAATGTGACAAGTGTCAGAGCATTTTGGGCAAAAAGTTTTGGATATTCTTGGAATGAATTCTTCCTGACATGCAGACATTATACAGTGAAGCACTTCAGTGAATGCCTGAATGCTTGAAGGCTCTTTCTTTAAGAGCAAAAAAAACCCCTGAAAAGCTACAGCTTAGCTAAACCCCTTTCTCTGCCATGTAGTGTATTAGTTGCCTACTAATAGCAACAGTCACTTAGGAGAACATAGCTTCATGGTACTGATATGTTGTTATTAACAAGCATCTATTATGCCAGTGACTCCGTGTTTCAAATGTACCCCAACAAGTACCTGCTCTGCAACTCCTTTTCACTTAATGGCAGAGTGTTTTGGCGATTCCTACCCCAGCTGGGTTTTAGACTATCAGGTCTCTAGGGTGATCAGCCTCCCACCTTTTCATAACACTCCAACCCACCTGTGTCATTCTGCTGGAATTAATGATTGTAATTCTCATCCTGCATGTTTCCTAGATCCCCAGACTCCTGACTTGACACCTGAAGTTCTCTTTCACATAAATACAACTTGGCATATTAGCTATAGAACAGTGATGAAGGTTCTTGGCGGGAGGTATGTAATGGATGGCTAGGTAAGAAGCAAAGACCCCTCCAGTCCAATATCTCCTGTTGCACAGATACTGGTGCCAAG